AAGGGTTTAAAATTCACACCAAGAAAGAGCTAAAAGAACATGGTCTCCCCAAAGGTTCCTGTTCTTTCCCTCAAGCCAAAAAGCCAAAAAAAAAAGTTCCAACTTTTTTGTATACACTTTCTAGAAATTGCAGATTATTCTTCTACCAAAATGCTCCTCGTATCCCATCTTCTTTACTAAATAAAACCAACTAGATTACGGCAAGACGAAAGTAATCTCTCCTTCAATCACAAAATTATGTAAAGCCATGCGGTAATTGCATAATCTCTTCTTCAGTTCTATAAATACCTTAAAAGTGGGGCTTCATATCCTGCAAAGCAAGGCAGAATGAAAAGCTCAGAGCACTAGATTTTCACATGCATTCAATATCATTGAAAGCAAAAGAAGAACTTACAAGTATAGTGATATACTCTGTACTATGTAGTTTTTTCCCAAAATGTGGTGGATCGGCTCCATTCCACCCATAGTGGAACCGATCCACCCTTCAAATGTGCCACTCTATTTTGGGATAAAACTACATAGTATAGAGATATAATAGAGGACAGGACCCCAAAACATTGCCAAGTTGTACATGTGCAATTTCTAAAAATATAGAAATTTCACTGAAAAAACCCCACATATTAAAGAGAAAAGGGGGCCTGACAAAATGGGAAGGGAAGGGAAGGGAAGGTCATTTTAGACGAGCAAACGAAAGAAAATCGAGAACCCCACAAGAAATTTTCAACAATTCCTGGACTCGCAAAAGAACATCTGTTTAAATTCTACAGTGATTCTGTAGCAAAGCAACTAAATGAACAGGAGACAGACCCAAGTGGCGATTCTCTTTACCCAGAAGTCAAATAGGCAGGACAGAACATAGAAGATAGAAGAATCGTCATAAAAGAAGAGAGAGAGAGAGAGAGAGAGAGAGAGAGAGAGAACAAAGGGAAATGAGATAAGTGAAAGAAAAGGGTAGATACCAAATACATCGGTAACAAAAATGACGGCGAGTTTGGAATCAGGGGAGCCGGAAACATAGGTGCTGAGGCCGGCGAGCTGTTCGACATGGCCGGCGCCGCCGCTGGGGTTTAGAGCAGGGGGGTTTGAGCAGCACTGGGGGCCTGACATCTCCTTCCTCTCACTCTGATTTCAGCGACGACCTTAGAACTATGGCCAAAACGAATAAAAGGGTGCGCAAATTTCAGCTTTACAGTACACCAAAAGCAGTTGCCTCAGCCGTGACGCAAATGCGTCTGTCTAACTATGAAACGACAGGTCTTCAATTTGTCAGATGTGAACTGTGAAGTAGGCTACAGAAGAAAGTAAAAGCGAGCTATTGGGCAATCCTTCATTTATTGATAAGGTTATCAAGTTCCTCTTGCAGATTAGCCAAGGAAAGGAATTGTGCATATGGATGTTTACTTAATTATAGATGTATGAATCAGATCAGCCCGGCGATTTAAGAAAATCCAATAAAAATACAAACTTCTTTTTATATATAAAAACACGATTGAATAAATAAAAGTTTAAAGAGCATTTTAGTACTTGAATTAATTTTTTTTATTTTAATATATACTTCCCATTTTAATTTTCGTACTTTTGAAAAGTGATTGTGGCCTTTATACTTATAAAAACTAACGATGTAGATGTAGATGTATTCATTTTCATTTTTATCTCTATTTATTTTCATTGACTAATTTTAAATTTAGTCATAGATTTATATGGAATCCTATACAAATTTATAATTAAATTTTAAAATTTTGCGAATAAAAATTACTTAAATGGGTTAAAATAAACTTTTGAAATATAAAAATTAAAATAAACAAATATAAAAAATAAGGGATCAAAATTAAAGTAAAAGCCTAAAAGGTAATAATGAAATTAGATTTAAACACCGCAAGGCTCCCGTGCATGGGCGAGCAAAAAGAGAGAAAAATCGCAATAGAGACACACGAGTTCCAATTTGTCATCGCCAATCTGTTTCTACTTACTTTCTCCACATCTTTCTTTCATTTTATGGGCTTTTAGTTGTGGGTTTTGAAGGGTTTGACGAAACCCTTTCTTCATCCTACGAAATTGCAGAGCTTGAACAAGGGCAAGGAAGATCAAAGAGACTCAACCCTGGATGTGAAATGGGGTCTGCTCAAAATGGGAAATTGGGCAATGAAACAGGAAAGAGTGAAGTGAAAGAAGAAGAAGAAGAGGAAGAACCCATATTAATGGCACAAAACCAGAGGTTTTGCATGTTTCCAGTCAGGTATCGGCAGCTCTGGGAGATGTACAAGAAGGCCGAAGCCAGTTTTTGGACTGGTAATTCTTCTTCCTTTTATGGATTCTCTGTTTTCATCTTTCTAATCATTATTGTAAGTTGCCGTTTATTCTTTTGAATTGAATTTTTGTAGCTTAAAATGTCATCATTTGTTGTCACCTTCATTCATTCGTTAGTACTATGAATTTTATTTGAATTTCAGTGGTTTACTGTGCCTATAAAATATTTATTTGGTCGAGTTATCTGAGAGTTTCCTTGACAACCAAATGTCCTAGATCTTGAATTAAAAAATACTTTTGGTCTTTTGGCATAACTCTTTTTTCCTTCTCCATTGCAGCTGAGGAGGTTGATCTCTCCCGAGACATGCAGCATTGGGAGAACTTGTCCAACTCTGAGAAACACTTTATCAGCCACGTGCTTGCATTCTTTGCTGCATCTGATGGGATTGTTTTGGAAAACTTAGCAGCAAGATTCCTAAAAGATGTTCAAATTCCAGAGGTAGCCATTGACTCTTTTTTTGTATGATAAAATGTTATTGATTTTGGAACTGCTCAGTTTATTGTAACAACCTCTGCTTTTTACCCATTGTTGTCTGTAATTGCTGTAGCCCATTATACTTGGGTCATGTTGTTGAAATCTTTCAGCCACTGTTAGACGTTTGATGGCTAGTTTATGTAGGCAATGAGCCAAATAAGACATTTTTCTGCATTGCTATTTGTAACTTATTCGTTATTCCTTCTTAGGCTCGGGCATTTTATGGATTTCAAATTGCTATGGAGAATATCCATTCTGGTAAGAGAAGACCTGTTTTGAGTTATTGCTGATCTTTTCTTCTATGATTTGGTGGGTATGAAAGCTAAATCAAGAGTGTTGCTGCTGCTATTGTCAGAGATGTACAGCTTACTCTTGGAGACATATATTAAAGATTCTAAAGAGAAGCATAGGCTGTTTAATGCAATTGAAAACATCCCTTGTGTGGCTGTGAAAGCTAAGTGGGCCATAGATTGGATCCATAGGTAATTTCTGCATTGCTATTCGTAGTTTCGTGTTTATCCGATGATGAAATTCGGTGTAGCGTTATTTGTTTACATGAGAAACAGGCTGTTCGCAACATAAAATCCTAGCTTTCCTATGTTATGCAATTGCCTCTGGCTTGGCTAGGAGGCTACAGGTTTGAGACCTAAGAGAGCCAAATTTCAATCTATAGTTGTTTTTACAGACCTTAACGATTTTGAGAGCCCCCTGTTTTATATTGGAACAATGTGTGCATCGTAACTTTCTTTTCTGATGTTGTAGTTCTGATATATTTGCCGAGAGACTCGTTGCTTTCGCATGTGTGGAGGGAATATTTTTCTCAGGAAGGTACTCTCACAGATCAACAGTTATTGCTCACTTAAATACTTAAAACTTTTGGAGCTTACTTGTAATATTTGGTTTTGGGTTTCATTGCTCTTTTTACGCTTAGCTTCTGCGCCATATTTTGGCTGAAAAAGCGGGGATTGATGCCGGGACTAACCTTCTCAAATGAACTAATTTCCAGAGATGAGGGCCTTCACTGTGACTTTGCTTGCCTTCTCTACAGGTGATTTTCTTTACAACTCAGAAGACCTCATCAGTCATCAACTTCTCCGCTTTAAGTAATCCGTTTGTTCTTCTTTTTCCCAAGGAGCGCGAGAATACAGAATATTGAGAACGCCTAACATTTGCTGGTTATTTTGATTGCTTATAGTCTGTTGCAAAAACAACTACCCTGCGAAAGAGTTCATCATATTGTCAATGAGGCAGTAGAAATAGAGAGAGAATTTGTTTGTGAGGCCCTCCCATGTGCATTAATCGGCATGAACTCGACTCTCATGAGTCAATATATACAGTTTGTAGCGGACCGCCTTTTGGTATCCATTTCAACTGTTTAAAAAAAAATTGAGCTCTTCTGCATAGAAAAATCAAAAGAAGTTTTTTCTCATTATCATTTGCTCCTTGTTTCAGGTTTCTTTAGGATACAACATGAAGTACAATGTCGAAAACCCTTTCGACTGGATGGAATTTATTTCTTTACAGTGAGTATCAATGAAACCGAGCTTACATTTACACAGTTGAGAACGACACCTCGTCTACAACTACTGATAGTAACGCTGACGCTAACGTTTACGAACATATTATAACCTCTCTTAATTACTATCAACCTGCTATCTTCTGTCTATCTGATGGTTCATTCTGTTCATTTGATGAAACAGAGGAAAGGCAAACTTCTTTGAAAGAAGGGTGGGTGACTACCAAAAGGCATCTGTGATGTCAGGTCTCAAGGATGCTAGCAAGAACTTTGTGTTCAAGATTGATGAGGACTTCTAGTGATCGATCAAACCGTTTGTTTCGGTGAAGCCGAAACTTTTCCGTCCCGCTTTTGACGTGGTTCCTTTTGGTATGAACTTGTCTGTTGTCTATATTATTTGCAGGCAATTGGTAGTGGAACCGCGATGTTGAAAGAACTGTACAGAAAAACTTCCCCCAAAATTAGAAAATCATGTCTGTAATCTGTATGTAGTTGTATTTTGGAATTCTCGATATGCTCGGTAGATGGTCACCATGGCTTGAAGCTATGACTTTAAAGATATCTGAATTTACGACGTTTCTCTTGGACCATCCAGCCAACTGTATCTGCCAACTGGTGTACAGTATATCCACATCGATCCTTATTATCTTCTTGTTGAGGGTGTAAGTGGGTCAATTTGACTCGGTTTTTTTACGTGTATGGGGCTTAATCCCATTGCGTTTTCTTTTACGTAATAAAAATGACTAGCCTATGTTATTTTAATGAAGTTTGAACCCATTACCCAAAATCAACTAATGAAAATTGTACATTCTTGTGCCACCCCAACATACTCATATATTTCATACACACTTGTATCTTTTTTAAGAGGATTTTATAAATAAAAATTAAATTATAATTAACAACTAATGGGCTCAAAAGGGGGTCCAGCCCAAGAATCTTGATCTAGAAGTACGAGATAATAGTTCTGGGCCTGGCCCATGCTTGAAACCAATTGCATGGATCTTGCTATCAATCGAAGCCTTATTTGGTAAACTGCCCGCCGGCCCATACTATTTAGAAATTAGGTTTCTAAGAGCCGTATTTTTATTTTGTCTATTTTTGGATGTATAAAATTTATTTAGCACAATAATTTTTATAAATAGTTTCTTTAAAATAAACAAGAACAATTTTTTTCACGCGCGCACGCACATATATATGTATATATATTTTATGTTTTCTCACTTATTTGTTCATTTATAATTATTGATCATGCTCAATTTTTTTTAAAGTATAGCTTCATTTAAATGTATTATATTTTATGTTTTAAAATCAATATGTAAAAGATATAAATGAAAATATATATATTCAAACCGTTTTAAGAACTAAAACAAGAAAAAACTATTTTAAAAATATAGTATGTACAATTATTTATTATTATTTTTTTTTCATAATAACCTGAAAGAAACACAAAAAAATTCAAAGAGTTCTTAAATATTCAATATTTGGATAGGTGAGAAAATCATAACAATCAATTACAAACGAGTCATAATTAGTCTAAACTTTTTAAACATACAGCAGAAGGAAGAATATTTCAATTTGTTAATATTGGAACAACCAAAATTTTTATTCAACTTAACATGTTTTTTTTTTTTAATGAAAATGACCACCAGCTCATTCAAATCCACTTTATTTTATTGTTGAATGACTAAAAATTTTTGTTTGCACATTTTATGATTTCTTATATGAATGCAACCGAAAAAATTCAATAACTCTCGTTATGGAGAGATAAAACGAGATCCAGGTAGGTGACAGAATGTGGAAGGAGAACCAAAAGAAGGCGCGAATCAGGAAAGGGAGCTGGCACTCGACGACCCGAGTCGGCCCTCGACCCCCCAGCTGAAAACTATAATGGTCCAACCCGATCGCGGTGCATTCCGATACGAACTCATTGCATCCCGACTCTTGATCCGACGACAGGTCCATAATGAAATGCGCCGGCCTATACATCTAGATTTCCTAGATGTATTACAATTCGACTTCTGTAATTGTTAAAAGAGATTATGATTCGACTTCTATAAATAGGAAGGTAAACCAAATCTTAAAAGGTATTCCAAAACACCCTATTCTCCATACTTGATTAATCTAATTCTGATTTAAGTGTTGGAACCTGTGTAGCAAGATCTAGTCAATCCCTTTTATTCTAGTAGATTGGTACGAATTTGATAGAATCTCAGTCAAATTTTTACATCAACAACTCTCTCCTCATATTTGGATAAAAAATATACACACGAAAGAAGTTCGCAAAGTTGGAAAGAAAAAACATGTCAACAGTAGTGACATTTGTTTTTTCATTGGAGTAAACAGTAGTCACATTTGTTTTACAACGTTAAGTAATAAAGAATATAAAAATATTGTTTTAATTATTTAAAGAAACGAATATATCTAACCGTCAACATTGGCATCGGACAATTTGAATCTGTTTATCCATACAAATTTTGATTAAATTAATTAATTAATATTAGATTAAAAAATAAATTAACATCGTCAAACTGGGAATAATTTTTTGTTTTTGAATTAATTGTAGTTGGCAACTATATTAGACAAGCTTAATTACTTGTCGCTTCTGATAATATTTAAATGAAAAACATTCTATGATAAATTACTCCTGTCGGTGACAGATCGGTCAACACAGACCATTAATATTCATCTTCTTGGACTTTTTCTTTTTTATTTTCTTTTTCATTCTACGCGGTTTTCTAGCTGTGCTGTACCTATATAATTCATGCATGTTTCCATATGGGATACCAAACAAAAAAAAATAAAAATCCATGCCCTTATTAAATGGGTATTGGAGAAAATAGTTGAAAATGAAAAGGGAAAGTCAGAGGAAAGAGACAGGAGTGGCGAGTTTTTATTTGCAAGTGATGGTTTCAAAATCACAGGTGGGTATGGATATGGCTATGGCTATGGCCAAGCTATAAGTATTAGGTTTTTTTTTTCTTCTTCCCTCCTCTTTTGGTGTTTTTGGGATATGCAATATGCCAAAACTTTTTTTTTTAAAAAAAAAAAAATATTTGTTTTTCGATTTATGGTTAAAATAAAGTTGTAAGGTAAGATTAGAGAAGATCCTAGCTAATAAGTCAATCGATTAGTTCAGATCATTCAAAGTCTTTTGGGTAAAAGTTGATTCCTGGAGTACGAACCTACGTGTCCAACATAGAGGTAATGTACTATAAATCAATTCTATAGACATAAACTAAGAAATCGAACCAGAAAACATTAAACCCTAAGGGATAAGCCAAAGAAGTCGATTGAGCTACCCATGAGACTTGAAGGCTCCCATAGGTTGAGCTGCCCATAGGATCAACCCTACAGGTTGATCGAGTTTCTTGGGCAATAATTTGTCAAATGAGTCCACTTAGCTAGTCCCGTTTTCTTTTGGAGATAAAACTCATTATTCGTATTGAACTTGCACTACACAAATGTTGTATTTTATTCGTCTTTTAAGATTCCGTCGAATCCGATAGATCAAGGAGAGTAATACAATTGGTTACTCCATCAAACCAATTTTACACATCAACATATTCAAATGGAATGGCGAGGTAGAATGATCTTCAATGAATTACTTCGTACTAAAATTATTTGCTTTTGATTGAAATTAAATATATATATATATTATATATATTGAATTATTTAATAAATTTTTGTTTTGATGGTTATCTTTGGTGGGTTTAGGATGCCAAATAATAGTACGATTTTAGAATATTTTATTCCTCCATTACTTATTTGCACAAAAAAGTCAAAATTTGAAAAATAAAACATGTTAATTTGGAAATGTAGGCTATTTGTAGCTATTATACAAAATAATTTTTAAAAACTGTATCTGGCCAACGTGAATTTAGTTCGTTAAGGCATTTTTTTCTTTTCCTAAAAGTTAGACGTTTAATCTAACATCTCCACATTTATTGTGTACTAAAATGAGCTTAAATATTAACTTCAATTATTTAAAATGTACATCTTCTGCTAGAAAAAAAAAGAAAAAAGTGAAGCAATTTCACAGGCATAATTTTTAAAATTTGAGTTAAGGTTAAAAAGAATATTTTATCTTTTAAAATAAGGATATTTACTGATAATATCTTTATTTTGTTTCAATCTTTCTAAAAAAAACTTTTGAATTATTTAAAAAAATTTATAAAAATTTTTTTGAAAAGATATCGGTTGAGTGGCCTCTTGTTCTATACAATGTTAATTAAACAAATATTTTTAAAAATAACTGTTTTGTGTGCCGACATAAGAACAGTTTAAAATATTATAAAAAGTCAAGTCATCTATAAGAAAAAATGAAAGAGAATTTACTTTTAATTAAAAAAAAAAAGAAGAAAAAAATGCTGAACCAACTAAGCTAAGCTTTCTAATCGAATTGTTATAAAAAAAAAATAGAAAATGATATTCAATAACTTTCAAACAACTCCCTTTAAAACCCATCTAAGATTTTAAGTAGGTTATAAAACTATCAATAAACAATTTTCTTCCAAGTGAAAAGGATTATCAATGACAGAAAAAGCGTTTATATTATGTCAACTTTTATATAACACGAGACATAGATCTAGAAAATCTATTTGAATGACTGATAATGAATTTGTGAGATTTCGACACCCATCTCATCATAGCAATGCAATCTACTTAATATATGTACGTGACACATTCAATCTTAAACAATTCAAATCAAGTTTCAAATTGAACGAAAACATATTTGGTTGAACTAAGATGACATACACATATATTTAGACAAATCTTCGATAGATTTGTAAGAATAAAGAGGAAGAACGTGAAAAAGAGTGAGAATTTAGACCCCACAAATGATACCCATAAGGCAAGGGAAAAGAATAAGAACCTCTCTTTGGAAAATTTTGTAATAAAATCATTGTCTCCCTTTTATCACTATTCCATTCCAAATAAAAGGTCAATCCCCCCAAATTCCACCCCTTTTCCTAAAAGTTGATTTTGACTTCAATTTTAAAAAAATATATATACATAATTATTTAATTATTTATTTTAATTTTGGAGGGTGTGTTCCAGTGTGGGTCGCTTTTTGTGTGAGTGGAGTATCAAGCCCACCATCTTATTATTATATCTCGAATCATGTGGATTTCACTCCACTTGAGTCTGGCCCCACCAGGGGTTTTTTTGTCTTTTCACTAATTTTTTTTTTGTTTAAATAAATTTGATTCGCACAAAGTATTTCAACTTTTGGCACGTGTGGGGCGAGGGGAATAACTCGGGTGTGATACAATCTCCGTCAACACCGAATCAAACTGTGCCCATCAAATCAAGGCGGCTGTAAACCACCACATTGGAGATTTCCCTTTCCTCCACCGTTGATTCAATCCAATCCGACGGTGATTGGCCCCGAAAGTAGTTTTCGTACGGTGTGAACAAATGCACACAATAAAAACAGCTTTTATAAAATAAAATATTCCAAATTCCAACCGATAATATATATAAAATACAGCTCATTAATATTTAATAATAC